TCAGCGTACTTGCTGCTGGCATACGCATAGGTGCCGGCAAGCAGCTACCGACGTCGCGCCTAGAGAAGATCACGGCCGCTGCCAAGCAGGCCAAGCTCGATCTCGACCGCGACCGCGCCTCTGCCGCCCTCCCCCCCGCGCCTGCCGCAGCCAGCCTTGCGCCCGGCGTCGCTGCCACCGGCCCCGCCGGCCTTGCGCCCGGCGCCGCTGCCACCGGCCCCGGACCCGGCCCCGCCGCTTCTGACACCGCCGCGTCCGCGGCGCCCGCCGCCGACTAGCCGACGGAGTCGCCGCTCACAAGTGCAACACCAATGCTCGAGATCAGCACGAACGTTGTGATTGCAACGTACGACAGCGCGGGTAGGTTCGACTGGTGGTGCGGACGCGTGCAGCAGATGCTCTGCAAGTCGGGCGGCAAGAGGGGGAGCTACGTGCGGACCTATCTCCCCGTGCCGTTCGACGAGGCTAAGGCAGTCAACTATAAGATCCACTGCAACTTCTACGCCAAGTCAGGCGCGGACGGCGTCTACACCTTCAAGTACAACGTCGACGATTCCGCCCCATACCACATGGAGTCGGTGCTCGGCCTCCTCGACCTCAACCTCCCCTCCGACGAAGGAGCCTACGTGCCACGCGATCAACAGGCCGGCTGGAAGTTTGACGAGGCGCTTAAACTGATCACGCCGGCCGCGGACTCTGCTCCCCACCGCAAGCGGGCGCGGAGTACCGCCGACGACGAGGCTGGCGGCTCCTCTGGCGCGAAGAAGCGCGCCCTGATGTGACGCTCAAACGCAAGGGCGGGACGCTTGGAATCTCTGTCGACCCCAACAACCACCAAATTACCAACGTGGTCGAGGGAGGCGCTGGCGACACCGCCGGTCTTTGCGTGGGCGACTTCATCGCCGAGGTCAACGGTAAGTCGACGACCGGCGGCTCCTTTGGCAAGCTGCTGCCTGCTGCAGCGATGGCGGAGATTAGGCTGCGGCTCATCCGAGTGCAGGTGGTTGATCCCGGCCATCTACACCTCCCTGACCTACGAGCATAAGTGTCTCCCCCCCCCCCCCTCACACACAGGATTGACGCTGATCACGGCGCTCGCTCCCTCCTCGCCGCCGCGAGAGGACCAGGCGTGCCCGCGCGCCGCGGGGGCTCTGTAGACAGCCAGACGGCTCCGCGCGGTCGGACCGACTTTTTTCAGACTGGACTATTTTGGATACTAAGGGTATGTGCAGCTAAATCTCACTGAGCTGAGCTCATATCTGCCCTCAGTATCCTGTTTTGAGTTCGGGAATGCCTTCAGTATCCTGTTTCCGTGTACGGAGGGCCGCGTCCGGACGATCATGACGTCGGCCGGGACCCCCCGTGCGGGGGCCTTCCGGGCGACGGGCGCGCGCGCGTTTTCGAAAAAAGAAAAGGCAGACGGCTCAGCTTGATGACAGATTAGTCGATCGATTTGCGACGAGCGAGCGATAAGGGGATCGAGCGGGGGACCGATAGGCTAGGGAGATCAACGCTGATCGATCAACGTCAGCCGAGACGCCCGAGTGAGTCTATCTTGTTCTACCACATGGATGAACAACTCTCTCTCACAATGGTCACGAGTCTTTAGTAAAACGCCAGCACTCGACACGACGAAGGTGTATTGGGCTCGAAGGCGCGGCGAACACAACCGCCTCGAGCGTACGAGTACCGCTTAAACACGAAGGCGGAGAGGGGGGGGCGGCGGCGAGGAGGCGGGAGAGCTGGGTCCAGTGCGCTCTGCTGCTGGGGGGGTCGGGACCCCCCCCCCAGCAGGAGCGCTCTGCTGCTGGGGGTCGGGACCCCCCCCCCCCCAGCAGGAGCGCTCTGCTGCTGGGGGGGTCAGACCCCCCCCCCCCCAGCAGCAGCAGGGATGATCTTAGTTGTGCAGGGGGGGTAGCGAGCAGAGGGGGACCCCTCCGGGGGACTTGCCCTCCTTTCTGTTTTTGAGGAGAGGGGAAATTTCTCCCTCTGTTTTTGGGCCTAAATAAATAATAAATAGAGCAGCAGCAGGCATCTCCCGGAGATAGATGTTTTTAACAAAATAAATAAAACCCCAAGCTAGGGCTGGGTCGAGGACAGACACGTCCCCACCTTTGCAGGAATACCCCCGAATTCTTCCCTGCTAGCACATTTGGGAGGACACAGACATGCAGACCTCGAAATTGCGAACGATCCTGCAGCAGCGACGGGAAGTGATACAGCGTGCTGAGGAGCGCAAAGCAGCGGTGGTAGTCGTATCTTTTGTGTGGGCGCTGACGGCGATGACGTTCTTGGCAGGGTTGTGGCCGCCGCCGCGTCGAACGGGGCAGTCGCCGACTCTGCATGCACTGCCTCCGCCGGCGATAGGAAACTGGCCACCTCTTCCGTCGCCAATCGCGCCGCCCTCGTCGCCGCCGTCGACGCTGCCGACACCTCCGCCGTCGCCGCTGCCGCCACCTCCGCCGTCGCCGCTGCCGCTGCCGCCACCTCCGCCGCTGCCGCTGCCGCCACCTCCGCCGCTGCCGCTGCCGCTGTCGCCACCTCCGCCGCTGCCGCTGCCGCCACCTCCGCCCTCGCCGACGCCACTACAATCGCGATGGGACTCGCTTCTCAGATACGCACACAGCCTCGGCAAAATGCAAGGATGGCGCCGGGACTCGAGCGAGAAGAGGCCCACCGTCCTCGGTGTCTCCTGCTCAGACCGCGAGATCTACCTCGGCCTCGCCGCCTCCGCTGCGGTGGCGATGTACGTCACTTGCAACCATGCAGACTTCCGCCCTGCCGTGGCGAGCGTTAGTCTGCTCCTGGCATTTGCCGTGGTTGCAGGCTTAGTCATGGGCCTGCCGATCACGTCAGGGACGCTGGCCCGCATCCTCGAGCTCTGCGTCGTGACAAGCGGCTGCATACTGCTCGCCATCCGCATCTTTTCACAGCTTCGCCGCTTGATGCTCCCGAATGAGCCTGCCGGACTACCCCAATATATGTCACCGAGGACGCGGCCTGCTTCGCCGAGGGCGGCAGCGGCTCGGGCGCCCGCCGACTCGGCCTCGTTGAAAGCGCTCATGACCGACCTGCTCCGAGAGCCGACTCTGCGCTTGTCGGCGCTGGGCGAGTCTCGCGATACGGATTCCCCAAGAGCGCCGGCATGGGCGTCGGGCTCCGCATCACGGTCTCCGCGATAGGCGAGTCACAGGCTGTTGCTACCCTAGACGCGCCGTTGGAATTTGCCACGCACAGAAACAAATGCCTCTTTGAGCCCCCTCCGGATTCCAAGGCTAAGGTTTGGGGGGGCCCGGAACTCCATGTTTTAGATAACAATGGGGCCCCCCCCCCCCCCCCCGCCCGCCCGCCCCTCCCTTGAGCCTGTGTGTGCGCTGCTTACCTTCGTGTGTCTACCATGTGCCTTGTGTGTACCCCCCCCATCCTGCATCCATGTTCCCATGTGTGTGCGTCACGGATTTCTTTTGGACCGGATGCCAAGGACTGCCCGACTGGCTTATACACATTGGAGTGGGTCCGTTTGTGATTGTGTGTAAAGAGAAAGGTCGCTGCGAGCTGTATATGCGAGCGTGTACTGGGCTGGGTTTTTACATTTTAGGCATTGTGGGGTTGGCACTCCCATCGACCCTCATGACCTCCTGCGGTCTCTGAGATGGACACCAGTGGGTGTGGGACCACAGCCAGGATACGCTCGAAGGCTGGGTAAGCAGTAGAGGTCGATACTGGACGCGTCCCACATGGTCTGTGTCGCTGTCGGCACGCTGTCGACAGGACGTCGAGCGACACCGGTGGCAGTGCCACCCAGGAGTGGTCGGGCGGTCTCCCGTCATGAAAGAGCCACCATGTGATCCGTATGATGATTCCTGACAACCGCCTCAGTCAACGTTCGTCACAGTTCCCGCTCTGAGAGGAGCTGCGGGTCAGTTCGACAGCTGGAGCTGTGTCGCCGGCGTGCGGCGGCCTGCCTCCGGAGGTGCCTCTGAGGTGGACATTTTTTGGTCACCGTGAGAGAACGCGTTCGAATTTTCACTCCGGAACTTCAACTCCGCACGCGCACCGGCCAGGGCTACAATAGTGCCAGTGAGGCGGAGGCGCGAGTTGGAAGGCCGCGTTTTCAAGTGTTCCGGTCATTTTCCTACAATCGCTTCACCCTTGGGTTTCTTGCCGTCGTCCCTGGGGGGGTCCCAAGGGTGAATACAATCGCTGTGAACCCAGCCACGTAGTTTACAACGTATGCACAACAAACATGAACATCTATTAACACTCACACACGGACGCTCAAGGCCCGGCGAACGTGACGTCTTCGCAAGCGAAGCCTAGAGCCCCTAGAGCGAAGACAGTGCCCCCAAGGAGGTCAAACTGAAGCACGTCGTCCGTGTATGATAGCTCCAATCCGACTTCCGGGAAGACTGTCATCTCTACGCCATCCACAAGCATCGTCGCCTCGCCCTTGAGCACGATGCCAATCTTCGCCTCATCCCCCCCTCCTCCCTCCACCTTGCACGCAGCCGCGGTCAGCGCCGTCATCAGGCAGCAGTCGTAGGGGTAGATCCAAGTGCAGTCTCCTCCTGGGCTCAAGTCCCGGTTGACCGCGGCGGCCCGGCCAGGCAGGGGCGTCGCCGTGAGGAAGACGCTGAAGTCGGTTCCCTCGCCCTGCGGGATCGTAGTTGTGCCTGCCGCTACCATCCGTGCGTACGTGTCAGTCCTATCGCATTTGACGTCTGCGAATGAGACGCGCAGCGGCGACAAAGTCGAGGACGAAATCACCGAGGTGTTGTACGCGAATGTCCAATCGAAGTAGGCGTCGAGCGCAATCTCCTTGACTGCCCACTCGCGCCCAAACGGGTTGGCGCCGGAGACGATGAATCCACGGCTGCACGCGCCCCCAGTTGGGCATTTCGCGCTCGTGTTGACAAAGGGGACGCTTGTGTTGGTGACCTCGACCGTCTCGTAGCCGGTTGCTATCGTCTCGCCCGAGACCAGCCCGCTCGACAAGATCTTGACGCGACTAGTCTCAAGCGTGATCAGGCCCAGCCCGGTTGCGACGACGGCTAGCTCCCTCTGAGACAGCCACCGGCCGAGTGCGTGCCCCCCAGCCTCGCTATTTTGTAGCATGATCTGCGCCTTGGCGGCGACAACGCCGCGTCGCACCCAAAGATCAACCACGCTGCACCAGCCGATGTGTTCGGACGCCTCCAAGTCGGCCGTGCTCCGGGATACGATGTTGGGAGTGTACCAAAGATCAGCACGCAGTGCGGTTACCTTCTCCTCCAGCATCGAGGTCGATGTGAATTCGAGGTCGACGTCCAACACGATCATGTCGGACGCTAGGTCGGACATGCCAGAGACGTTGGTGACTGCCGCCGTGGCGTTCACGAACATCTCAGCCGGGTTGGAGAGCAACGGCGGTGGAGATGTTGGAGGTAGTGGAGGTGACTTCGGCGGAGACGGCGGCGGAGACATCGGCGGAAACGAGGGCGGACCTGCAGATATCGCCGCCTCGGCTCGCCGATCGTTGAGCGCAAGCACCGCCACAGCTATCCCTCCCGCGATCAGGAAACCGATTGCGAGTCCGAGGGCAAAAGCCTTCTTCGGCCACGGCGGTCGTCGTTCGCCAGCGGCGCTTTTGGCGTCGCCCATCGAGGGCCTTGGGCTGCTCGACAGATCAAGGAGCCACCACGGCAAGGCGCATATAGAACCGAGCACTGTCACGCTAACCTCGGAACCTTCTCCTGGGAAAGTTATTTAGGAGCACCCCCCTACCGCCGCCCAGTACGTGCTCCGCAGCTGAGCCCACGCACCCCACAGCAGCTCAGGGACACAATGAGCTCGCATACAAGTGCTGGTACGCACAGCTCGACGCGTACTCGAATGCTGCCACTGTCATTCTAGCCGGCGAGCGGCGGCGTCACAGCGTCGACTCTCGCATCGCGATGAGACGCACTGCTTGCCCAGACGCGCGCCTTGGCACGCTCCTGTGGTGCAGGAGGAAGGCCAGCGGTCGTGCTGCGCAGGCCCGGCCGTCTGGCTGAAGGGAGCAGCAGCTGGCGCTCAACAGCAGCGCTGTCGAGCAGCGCAGCCACACCACACTCCCGCCAAGCCACGTGTCATTTCCCGCCAAGATTTGGCGCCAAAATGGCACTTTAGTGTCCACCTA